GTAGACCAGGCTGGCCTTAAACTCACAGAGATCCACCTGCCTCTGCCTCCCGAGTTCTGGGATTAAAGGTGTGTGCCACCATACCCCGCTTGTTTTAAATATTTTAAATAAGAGAATAATAGAACTTCTAGTGGAAGATCCAAGCCAGAAGGTTCTGGCAAGAGACCAGGAATCCTCCAGGAGAATACCTCACCTTAAGAAGAGGCTCAGAGGTTTGGTCTAAGAGCACTGCTCAGGTTCAGAAATCTCACCCCGGGTCCAGGGCTCATGTCTGAGCACTAGGAAGATGAAATTGCAAGAAAGGCTGAGGTGGCCCTGAAAGTCTAAGATGTCAGGACGAGAGATGGGGCCACCCAGCTCTGTGCACACTACAGTAGATTACATCATGCATCACTATCCTTTGTCCCTGTCTATATTCATGCCCCTTGCTGTAAGACTTTGGAGTTCCTCTCACTAAAGGGACAGAAAGTATTTTCTGTCTCTTGACTTTGAGTTTGATCATATGACTTGCTGTGGCCAATAGAATAATAGTGAAGTAACAGTGTCTCAGTTCTGAGCCCAGGTCTTAAGAGCTATTGCATGCTTGTGCTGGCCCTCAAGTAATATTGACATTCTATGAGAAGAATATGCCCATTCTAGTCCATTGGTTCTAAGAGGACAAATAAAGACATACAGAACAGAACTAAGCTGGGTCACCCAAGCCCAGAATCTACCCTCCGTCAAGCTTAGGTGCATGAACAAGTCAGCCAAGGTACAGCCAAATATAGCTAATACTAGGCTAACCTGCAGATCCATGAGAAGAAATGACAGCCGTTTTATGCCACTGAGCTGTATGTGTATGTGTGTGTGTGTATTGTGTATGGTGTGTGTGTGTGGTGTGTGTGAGCATGTGTGTGTACGTTTGTCTGAGTGCATGCATCCCATAGTGCACATGTGGAGGTCAGGGGCCAACCACCAACCTCAGGTGTTGGTACTTGCTTTCTACCTAGCTTGAGGAAAGGTCTCTTGTTATTTGCTGTATTCAACAGGCAGGCTGGGTGCATCTGCGGAGTCTCCAGGAGCACTGGGAATACAGATGCATGCTACCACATCTGGCTTTTTATGTGACTACTGTGGTTCAAACTTAGGTCCTCATACTTGTATAGCAAGTGCTTTTACCCACAGAGCCATCTCCCCAGCACTGCCACTGAGTTTTGTGGTGATTTGTTAATATGAGTCATCTTTTAGTAGCAGTAGAGAACTGAGATCTATGGGGACCTGGGCTCTGGCCACCACCACGGTTTCTGTAGCATCATCAATTATGGGTACACAGAGCAGATCGGGTTCTGCCCACTCTCTTGAGAGGCCAGGATGGAACAATGGAAGCAGCTTTAACCACAGCTGCTTCACTGACCACCAGCCTTTAACTTCACACCCTGTTTTATAGAAAGCACAATTCAGCAGAGATGGAGTGACCATTCACAAATAGCCAGTAAGAGCATCAGAATTTTCCTAACAATATTTAACCCTGGCTCAAGTGAATATTTTCCTACTGCATGAAGTCTTCTAGGAGCCAAAATAATTCCAGCATTTACAGTCTAGCTCAAGATAAAAAGGAAATCATATATTTTCTCTAAAACACTTTTTTGGAATATTTATCTAAAATTAAAATGAATGAGCTGATAATTTATGAACCTCCTTTAGAATTGATGTCTCTAACCATCCCGGGAGGCCCTTCTTACTGCTAAACAATCCTACTACCCACGTTATGAGTTTAAAGTAATTTCCTAAGCTTAGAAAACCATGTGCTACTTTAACCTACCATTCTTTGCCAGAGTAAAAGTAAAGCCAACTTAATCCAAGTGGTATGGAGAAGTACTTGTGTGTGTGTATATGAGTGTTATGCCATCTTCCCTGATACAGTCAAACAGAAGAAACGGAATCTTAGTGTGATTTTCCTTTGCTGAATAAAAGGTTATTTATCAACAAAGATAACTATTTGGGATAGAAAAGATCAGTGGGTAAAGTCCTTGTCATGCAAGCATGAGGACCCGAGTTCGATCCCCAGAACCCACGTAAAAGTCTGGCCGTGGTGGCATGCACTTGTAATGGTAGTAGCACTGGGAAGGTGGAGGCAGTGGATTACTGGGGCTCACTGGCTAGCCAGTCTAGCCTAATCAGTGAACTGGTAAACTTCTTCATGTGACAGACCAGCAAGAAAACCTGTCTCCAAAGCAAAGGTGGACAGATCCTGAGGAATGACACCTGAGATTGAACTCTGGTCTCTACATGCATATGCACACATGTGCATGTACACACACATACACACACACACACACACACTACCCACCCCAAAGAGACTCAATATGGTCAGGTTTATCCAGCACGTTCCTGATACCAATTTCTGTTCTAGTCTGGTTTCCGTTGCTGTGATAAACACTATGACCAAAAGCAAGATGGAGAGAAAAGGGTTTATTTCAGTTTACAGGGTAAAGTCCGTCATCAAGGGAAGCCAAGGCTGGAACCGTGGAGGAACACTTCCTTTTGGCTTGCTTTTAGGCTCACATTCAACTACCTTTCTTATACAGCCCTGGCCCATCTGCCTAAGGATGGTACTCCCCCGAGTGGGCTGGTGGGCTGGGCCCTCCTATATCAATAAGCAATCAAGAAAATGCCCCACAGACATGGCCACAGGCCAACCCAATGGAAATTCCTTAAATGAAGTCCCTTCTCCCCAAGTGTGTCAAGTTGACAACTAAGATTAGCCATCACACACGTACACACACACACACACACACACACACACACACACACACACAGATGCACGTAAGCATCCCCTAGCATTGGAGTTGGACCTGGTAACAAACATTTGTAATCTCAGCACTTTGGAGGCCGAGGCAGGAGGATTTAGAGCCCAGCCTGGATAACATAAGACTTTGCTGTAACAAAATAAAACAAAACAAAATGGTCCAGTGGTGCCTGTTGTCACTGGTTCAAATTTAACACTCAAAGTTTCAAGTGAGGAAGACAGCATACTAGGGAATTTTAGAGACAATTATCAACACTGAAGTTTGCTTTGAGAAGTGGTAATAAATCTTACAGAGGGGTTTCCCAGCCCCAAAGCTAACATAATCTTTCAGAAGGAACTGTTACAAAAGAAAACCATTCTCTGGCTGATTCAGGACAAGAACCTTCATCCTAAAAGAAGACTAAAATAAAAGATTGGCAAAGAGGAAACAGAAGGCTTCGGGTCCTGTTCACCCTTAACCTTGGGGGGATTTGTGGACTATGGGAGGAAGCCCTGAAATAATAAAAGAGGTTGTATTAGCTTGCATCAGCAGGCCAGCCTGCCCCTCTCCCTCACCCCCATCCTGCCACAGAAACTTCTTGTTGCTAAAATAGACACCACTGTTAAGTGTAAAGGGAAAAAGATAAAAGTAATCTTCATTTAATAGTAACTTAAGTCATAGGAAACCATCCCCAAAGGTCAAATACTGACACTTTCACATGTGGTAGGTGTGCTGAGTAGACCTGAAGAAAAATGAACACAAACACAGAAATATTAGTTCAATGGGAGACAGGTGAAATCACAAACTGAATCCAAATGAATCCCCCAAACAATACTATTAAATTGGATTTGTTTGTTTGTTTGTTTGTTTGTTGAATCAGGGTTTCACTGTTTAGCTCTGGCTGGCTTGGAGCTTGCTATGTGGACCAGGCTGGTCTCACAGAGATCTGCCCAATCTACCACCTGAGCGCTGGGATTAAAGGTGTGCACCACTACACTCAGAAAAGTTTTTTTTAAACATTTTAATTGCATTTTATGTATGTGTGTGCATGTGTGCATTCTATGATGTGCCCGTGGAAGTTAAAGGACAACTTATAGGAGTCAGTTCAGTCTTTCTATTATGTGGATCCTGGTGATCAAATTCAGGTTATCAGGTTTGGCATCCAAGTGCCTTATCCACTAATACTTCTTGCCAGCCCATTATTTTTTTCAGTTTTTTATTTAATTGAATTTTTGTGATTTTTATAGAATATAGTTTGATGGTGTTTAGATTCCACCCCCATCTGCACTTACCCTCATCACTCTACACTCAATTTAATGTACTCTATTGCATATATGATAAGGTCTACAGTCTAATATGTGTCCCCAAATGTCCTTCAGTGTGGGTCAATCTGCTGGAGCCTGGTTAATCTACCAAGAGTTCTAGCCTTGAAAGAGACTGTCTTTTTCCTCTCCTAGCAGCCAGCAGTTGCCAAAATTTCTTTAGGTTGGGTTAAGGTTTCTGATCCATTTTCCCATGTCTATGTTGGGATTTTACCTCGTTTGAGCTTACATAGGACTTATGCATGCTGTCGCCATTGCTGTGAGTTCATATGAGTAACTGACTAGCTGTCCAAGAAACTGTTTCCTTGTGGTCATCTACTGCATCTGGTTCTTACAATCTTTCTGTCCCCTCTTTCACAAAGATCCCTGAACCTTGGGAGACAGAAGCTTGGTACTGGTGTCCTATTTAGGGACAATCTCTTGTTCTAAGTCAGTATTCATATTTTTTTAATGGTTATGACTGTATTGCCTGAATGTATGTAAGTGCACCCACGTCATGCAATACCCATAGAGGTCAGAAGAGGGCATCAGATCCCCCCTGGAGCTAGAGCTACAGATGGCTGTTAGCTGCCATGTGGGTGCTGGGAACTGAACCTGGGTCCTCTGCAAGAATAGATAGTGCTCTTAACCACTGAGCCCCAATATACATTTTTTTGGTCTTTTTGAGACAGGGTCTCCCTGTAGCCCTAGCTGTCCTGGAACTCACTATGTAGACCAGGCTGGCCTTGAACTCACAGAGATCTGCCTGCCTCTGCCTCCCGAGTACGGGGATTAAAATCATGCACCCCACAAAATATCCTAACCCATCAACACTGCTTACTCTTTTCAGTGGAGAAATCTGACTATGCAGGTGTTGGGTCTGGAGTTCCAAAAGGCTATCTCCTTGGAATAGCATCATGAGAAGACATACCTGGAGAGCAACAGTTTACCCTGAAGCTGCAGGTCAGCAGCGCAGTCCTCAGATTGGCAATTCCTTTCAAAAATCGTCTGTGGGAGACATAACAGGAAGGTTCACATAAGAGTTAGTTTAAATGAGCAAATGGCCTGTGGTGGTTGGAATGAAAAGTGGCCTGCTAGCTCGAGTATTTGAACGCTTAATCAGTTGGTGGCAGCGTTTGGGGAGGGTCATGGAATCCCTAGGATGTGTTTCCTTGCGGGAGGAAGCACATCACTGAGGGCAGGCTTTGAGAATTCATAGCCTTAGCCTGCCTACTTCCAGTATCTCTGTTTTCTGAGCCTGCTTGAAGATGTGAATGCTCAGTTTTCTGCTCAGGCTGCCTCCCACCATTCCTCACCCACTATGATGGACTCTTATCCCTCTGGAACTGTAAGCCCAATAAACCTTTCTGTAATTAGCCTTGGTTATGGTGTTTTATCACAGCAACAAAAAAGTAACTAGTACAAAGCCAGTTCCCTACTTGCAAATCAGATGGATTTCATCCCCTGAGTCCTTCATACACTCCCCTTCCATCTTCGAGAAGCCCACTCTCTTGCACAGTGAGGGGACTTTCTCAAGACTCTGAAGAAGCCCTGTCAACAGTGGTCCTGAGTTTATGAGCACATCTGTCACTTGTTCTATCTCTCAGTTTACTGAGTGCTTTGTGTAGCTCTTTCAAGAAGCATGTTTAGAGCTGGGGAGATGGCTCAGTAGGTAAGAACACTTCCTGTGCAAGACCTCAGTTTAAACCCCAGCACCGTGTAAAAATTTGGGCATGGCTGCACGTGCCTATAACCCCAGCACAAGGGGATGGAGACAGGCAGATCCTGAGAACTTGCCGGCAGCCAGCCTAGCCCAAACTGAGAGCTGCCAGTTCCAGAGAGAAACCCTATCTCAAGGTAATACAAGGCAGAGAGCAACAGAGGTAGAGGAAGACACCCAAAGTCCTCCTCTAGCATGCACACACAGCCACACACTCACATGCATGCACACTACAACACAGAGAACCATACATGACACCTGTCTTTAGCCTGTGCTGGTCTAAGAATATTTTTCAGATGTGAAAAATATTCAGTTTTGTTCGGTGTGTCAAAACTGGCTTCCTTTCCAGAAAACTGGCAGGATGCACCTGAGCACAGACCTGTCTATGAAGATTGGCCATGCACTTCGGAGGCAATACCGGCTTTGGGTTGCAACTCTTCCTCTCTGTAATACAGGGGGATGTGCCAATTTGCTTTCGACCTTGGTCTCCATCTCTCTGATGCTTCATTTACAGAAAGCTGCCTCCCTTCCAGACAACTGAGTTGCTTCACAATTCAGACCGCTTTATCCTTTCAGGGACACTCGGAGAGAAGACTCTGTTGCCCTTTGTTATGTGTAATTTATTCACTGTCGAACTTCTTCATAGTCACTGCTCATGTTGGTGAGTTTATTTCCTCCTCCCACAAAACATAGTCCCTCTCTGCACAATCAGTCCATTTGGCCTCTCTGGGTACCAGGATGAACTCCAACAAGCCCATTGGAATAGGCAGTCTAGACTTTACCAGACAGGGTAACTTTGCCCATGGAAATTCAAAATCCCATGCCGCATTTCCAAAGAATAAAGTGTCCTAGCCAACATTCCCTTGTTTAGTTATCACGGAAGCCTTGGGGAAAAGAGGAACTTCCTGGGTTCTTTTGAACACTACCGAAGCAAAGAGAGTGCCAAAATGCCAAACAATTTCAATATAAGACTTCTGTGTTTTATTCCCTATCACCACCAAGGAAGAAACAGGAGGAGGAGGGTGTGAGGGTGTGCAAATGTCTAAAGCAAGATGAAAGAAAGACCTTGTGAGCTTTAGGACGAGCAGTCACCAAAGGCAGCCTCGCCAAGCTGAGGGACTTCTAGTTAGTTTTCATTGTCAATTTAACCCAGCCTGGGGGTCATCTGAGAGGAAAGCCTCAGTTGAGGAACTGCCTACATCAGATTGGCCTGGGGCCATGCCTGGGGGGTTGTCTCAATATAGGAGGGCCCAGCCCACTGTGGGTGGCACCATTTCCCAGGCAGGTGGTCCTGGACTGTACAAGGAAGCTGACTCACCATGAACTGGAATAAGTGAGCTAGCAAGCAGCCTTCCTCCACGGTTTTTGCTTCAAGTTCCTGCTTGAGTTCCTGTCCTGGCTTCTCTAAATTGTTTTTGGTCACAGTGTTTTACCACAGCAACGGAAAGGAAACTTGAATAGTCCTCACAGACATGGCCCCTATTGAAGCCTTGTGCCTACATTGTATTCTTAATTTTACACTTTTTCTCTAAAATATATCCCCTACATTATATAACCCCGAGTCTCCCAAACCCAGATCCACTCGTGATTACATCTATTTCCCTTAGAGGAAGGCGAGAAAGTCTGATTTTGGGTGTTCTGATGTCTGTAGTCATTCATAACTGTTATATTTGCTTGTTGAATGGACCTTTTATTACTATGCAATGACCTTTGTCTCTAGAGACAGTTCTTGATTTAAAGTCTATTTCCCTGACACATATGTGAGCTACTCCTGCTTTCTTTTGGTTAGCATTCTCATGGACTCTCTGACCCTATGTGCACTCTTGATTGAAAATGAGCTTCTGGTAGACAGCATGGGATGAGAGATGGGAACGGGGATGAGGTGGGATGAGAGATGAGGATGGGTAAGTGGTGGGGGTGTATGGGAAGAGGTGGGATCAAAGGTGGGAATGGGAAGAGGTAAGAACTGGGGACAGGATCTGACCCCTGTTCTCCTGACCTCTGTTACCAGGGTTTTCCCATGTCACCCAACCCTTGGATTGACCTTGTAACTTTTATAGTGTATATGAGTGAACACCAAGAGGCATCCTAGTTGATGGTAAAACAACAGTAGAGACAGGGAGTGACTGTGAGCTTACTTTAGTGTGGGTGAAGTTATTTTCCAAGAATCGATGCAGACATGTCTCCTGTAGCACTCCTTACAACGTGACCTGAAAACTCCTTCCACAGAGAAGCAAAGGGCTAAAGCACCCTTCCCTGCCATCTGGGAGGGCCTGTGGCTACAGTGCAAGCCACACTACGTGACTTCCAAGCCAACTCCATAAAAAGCAGCAGAGCTTTCTCCTGGATATTTGTTCTTGGAATGCAGCCACTCTGAGCCGAAGAAACCCCAGCTTTTGTAGAGAGGCTCACACGCTGAGAAACGGACAGCCATATCAACCTGCAGGCCATATGAGCAAGCTCTCCTGGGGGTGGGCTCTCAGAGGATCTGCAGTTCCCTGGAGGAGCCACAGCTGACAGGCACTCTTTGCGGAAAGATGAGGTGCTTTGACAAAGTCCTGCCAAGTTGCAAATTCATAAGCAAATTCACCATTTTCCCCCATTATTTTTCTGTTACTGATTTATAGTTTCATTCTGTTGCGGTTAGAAAAAAAATACTTGGTATGGTTTCAAGCTTCTTAAATTTGCTAGGATTTTTTACTTTACATGCAATCTATCCTGGACAAAGTTCCTTGTGCACTGGAGAGAACCTCTGTCCTGTTGTTGCTGGGATGTTCTACATATGTCTGTTGGGCTCACTGGTCTACAATGTTGTCCAGCTCTTCAGTTTGTTAGTTTTCTGTGTGAGTGCTCTACTCATTATTCAAAGTAAGGCACTGGGTCTATCTAGTATTGCATTACTCTCAAGGTTTCCTTTCAGATCTGTCAATACTTGTTTTATGTATGGAGGTATTCTGATGAATGTCGAGGGCATATACATTCATAACTGTTCTGTTCCCTTTATTACTATGCAATGACCTTTGCCTCCAGAGACAGCTCTTGACTTAAAGTCAACTTGAAGTTTACAAGCATGAGCCATTGACCTGAGCTCTTTCTCTATCCCTGTGTGCACCCTTGTCCAGAAATGAGGGTCAGGTAGACAGCATGCAGTTTAATCTTCCATGTCTGTTTAACCCATTCAATCACTGATCACTGTATACCTTTTTATTCAGGAGTGTAGTTCATTTACATTTAAAGTAAGTACTGATAAGATTTATTATTGCCTTTTATTAACTGCTTTGCATGTGTGTATGTATGTGATGTATGCATGAGTATATGCGTGTCCATGCGTGTGGCTACACGTTTGGGGGTGCATGTGTGATCATGTGGGGGCCACAGGTTGAGAGTAGGTGTCTTCCTCAATTGCTCCCTACTTTATTTACTGAGATTTGGGGTCTCTTACTTGAACTTGGAACTCATTCACTGATTGGGATAACTAGCCAGTTTGCCCCAGATTTCCTGTCTCCACCCCCCAAGTGCTAGCAGGCTTCCACACCTGAGCAGATTTTATGTGAGTGCCGAGCATCCAAACTCTAGATCTCATGTTTGCATGGCAAGTGCTTAATTTACTGATCCATCTTCTTTAAACCCTTTTTGACTATTATACACTGACAAGTTACTTGAGTAAAAGACTCTCTAGTTTTCTCTTCCTTCCCTCACACCATAAGCTACTGGTGTCCTAGTTTATAACTATGTACATTACGTACACACGAACTTATACTAACCTAATTTAGTTATAGTTGTTCTTTTCTTTTCTTTCTTTTTTTTTTTTTAGTCTTTTTGAGACAGGGTCTCCCTGTAGCCACATGTGGCCTAGAACTTGCTATGTAGACCAGGCTGGCCTTGAACTCACAGAGATCTGCCTGCCTCTGCCTCCTGAGTGCTGGGATTAAAGACCTGCACCACCATGCCTGACACAGTTGTTATTTTCTATTAATTGCTATAGAATTAACAATTTACCATTTTTAAAGTAATATGGAATTCTCATTTTGTCTAAATATTTGCCTTTAGTGATGAGTTTCTGACTTTATTATACTTTCTTTGGCTGTTTTAGAGTCTTCTCATTTCAACTTGGACTCCCTTTAATATTTTTTGTAACAAAGGAGTTATTTCTCCCTTAATTTTTGGAGGACAGGGTTTCTTGGTATAATATTTTTGGTTGAATGTCTTTTTCTTCTAGTATTTTGGATATATCAATCTATTCCTTTCAGTATTAAAAGGAAGTCTTGTGCTAAGAAGGCTGTAATAT